GCGCATTTCCCATTTCACCATGTTGTTTGCACATCATTTGAACTTACGTTGACTGATCGCCTTTGGCATTCTATTGGAAAGTATAGTTAATATAGCATCTAAAAATGGTGTATTCTGAAAAACTATTGATGCAATGAGGAGGTTACTATTGAAGTAAAAAAAAAAATAAAAAAAAATAAACCCTCTAGGGTGAAAGACGCGAGACAGTTAAAAATCTCCCTTAACACTAGTGTTTGTTGTTTAGATGTGCTATAGCCTCTGGTAATAGTTTATAACTAGAATTTTCCATGTGAAAGTGGGTAGGGGCGTCAGAGATTGAAGAAAATGCTAATGCTACGATTTGAAATAAACGGTATAATAGGGGTTGGTGTGGCTTTTTTCAAAAGAGGATTACTTGCAAGTTTAATTGCTTTTAAGTTGTGAAAGTATTCTTCAATGCTGAACAAAAGGAAATACAAGAATAAACGGTGTCATTCGCATTGATCAACCCTTGTCGGCGCTCTCCATATTTTATGTTGTAAATATCGCAATCAAACTTTTTGTCCTTCTAAACTTGTGAACCGCCTTCCGGCAAGACCAACACATTTCGAGGAGTGTTCAACGTCATTGAGCTAACGAAAACTTGATGTTGTGCTCGAGAAGTTTTCCTTTGACTCAAAGGTTGAAAAACAATCGCACTAAATGATCGAATGGATGCTCTCCACAGATAAAATCGTCTCAGAATTTGTCTCAAAACCCAAATAGGGCAAGGTTTCCATAGAGCCCCATACATCAATTATGCAAAGAGTGTTATGAAATGGAATGTAAAATTAATGTAAGCGGTTATATGGAAATGTGTCCCCCAAACGGTCGTTTAAGTTTGCAGGTGAATGGTTAGTTTCGACGAGCGATCCACATTTTGTTGAAAGGTAAGCTTCAAAGAGCGATCCACATTTTGAATCTATGATTGCAAGTTTTTCTTTGCCCTCAAAAGGAAAATGTTACTCAATGGTCGAATTATCTACC